GTGTAGAGGCGCGGCACCTTCCAGGACAGGCACTAGCTAAGGAGATGGCAGCCCAGAAAATAAACGAAGGGCTGGAGCACATCGCCAAAGCAGAGAAATAGTGAGTGAGAGTCTCCAGATGACTGCTGGGCCCATGACCTCTCGGCCTTGGACTCGATGGGACTGAAGCGGGGTGCACAGGGATGTGGGTGGTTCTATGCCTTCCTGACCGCCAGAGATGCCTGTGGGGCTGCGGCGGTGGGTTCTGGTGCTGTCTTTCTGAGCTCCTGTTGTGTTGGTGTTCTGTCGAACTGGGCCTGACCCAGCTGACTCTCCTACTTTTGGAAACTGTAAATCTCTAGTGCGCTTGAGCCGGCAGAGGTGACGAGCATGACACAGAGGTCGCTTTGAGTCGTAGTCGACTTGATGGCATCAAACATAAACTAAAAATCGATCGGGAGGAGATTACACGTCTTTCTCCTGTGGAGCAGCGAGTAGATTTGAACCACCAGTTGTTGGACTAACAGACTAGCTCCTGGCCAATCAGTAGGCCATCAGAATAGCTTGTAAAAAAGTGTTGTGCATAAAGTGCAGTACTTCACAGCCGTGGAAGAGGGCCACAGGGAAGAGTTAGGGCCAGAGTTGGAAAGAGCTGCCTTTCTGATGGTGTTGAATTTGCTATTTTCTATTCATTGAATAAACTGTGAATATGGTTATATTTGTTTTGGGCAAAATAAATGTGGATATCTGGAGAATGGACAGGGATGAGGGTGAGAACTTTGGCATATTCAGTAAGCAAACCTTGCAGAATATTTGTATACTAGCCACTGAGGATATAGCATGACCTAATCAATCTAGTGATACCTTCCTCACAGTTTAGAATCTACAGGAGAATGAAATAAACAGTTGTGTAAATGATAGTAAACATTAGAAAAGTAACATAATAAATGTTGGAAAAGAAATATACAGTAAATATATTGAGGGTACAAAGAAAGCAAAAGCTAGTCTGCTGTGGGAGAATGGAAGAGGCGGGCAGATAGGGAAAAGTGACTTTCCTGTGAAGGTGCTATAGGCAGGCCAGAAGGCTGTTGGCTTTTTAAGACCTAATGAGGGCCTGAAGAAATGCCAGGGTAAATAGGTCAGGATTGGGAAACCTTTACCAAATAGCTTTATTGACTTGTATTGACCTTTATTGAGGTTTTTAATGATTCTGGGTCATGTATATCAGTCATTCTCCCATTGCTGTTGAGTCAGAAACAACTCAAGAGCTGACCCTCTAGTGGGTTTTTTGGAGGCTGTAACTCACCCAGGAGGAGATTGTCTGTCTGTCTCTTGAGGAGCTGCTGGTAGATTTGAGCTGCTAGAAGGACGTCACTTGAGTTTGCAATAAAACTCCCTGCAGACTATGCCACCGGAGTTCCATTTCCATTTAACAGTAGAATTGTTGAATGGTTGTGTCTTGTTTTTTAGTTTACATTAACGTACAGAAAGTAGTGCAAATGTTATTGGGAATTGAAAGGCTTAATGTATCTTTGATTGATTTTGTGGATTAAAATAGATCCTACAATCCAAAGATTTTCTTTCTTGAGCAGTAATATTCTTGGTAAGCTTTAAATGTTTATAGATTTGAATTTTGCAAAACGTGTACTAAACTTAATTGACCAAAAAAATTCTGCGTTAGGAATTTTAATCAGTTTACACACTGTCACATAATGAGGGATGTTGTTGCTGTTATGTGCCATCGAGTTGCTTGCGACTCATAGCGACCCTATGTACAGTAGCCCCAAACTCTGCTCTATCTTGTGCCAGTCGCACTGTCTCTGACACACCCACCCCAACTACCTCATAGAGGGCCTTCCCCTCCTGCGCTGTCCCTCCACCCTCCCCAGCATGATGTCCTTCTCCAAGGACCAGTCTCTTCTTACAACATGTCCAAAGTATGTTAGGCAGAGCCTCAGAATCCTTGCCTCCAAAGAGCCACCCGGTTTAACCCTTTCCAGGATGAATCTATTTGTTTTCCTAGCAGTCCATGGTACTCTCAATACTATTCTCCAGCACCACAGCTCAAAGGCATCAATTCTCCTTCTGTCCTCCTTGGTCATTGTCCAAATCTCTGATGCATAACAAGTGATTGCAAAGACCATGGCCTGTATCAGACACACCTTAGTCTCCACAGTGACCCCATTGCTCTTCAGTACTTTGGAGAGGTCTCTAACAGCAGACTTTCCCATGGCAATGCACCTTTTAATTTCCTGGCTACTGGTGCCAAGAATGTTGATTGTGGAGCCAAGCAGACTAAAGCTGTGAACAGTCTCAATCTTTTCACCTTCCATCCTGATGCTTCCAATTGGCCCAGTGGTGAGAATCTTTGTCTTCTTGACATTGAGCCTCAATCCATATTGGAGGCTGCAGTCCTTGACCCTCTGCAGCAGGTACGTCAGGTCCTCCTCAGTTTCAGCAAGCAGGGTTGTGTCATCTGCATAACGCAGATTGTTGATAGATCATCCACCAGTCGTGATGCCACTTTTCTCCTCATAGAGTCCAGCCTCCCGGATGATCTGTTCTGCATATAGGTTGAAAAGGTATGGAGATAGGACGCATCCCTGGCCTACGCCATTCCCAGTTTTGAACCATGCAGTGTTCCCTTGCTCTGTTCTGACGACTGCTTCTTGGCCCAAGTATAGGTTTCGCTTTAGAATGATCAAGTGTTCCGGGATTCCCATTCTTCTCAGTCAGCCATAGTTTGTTACGATCCACACAGTCAAATGCCTTTGCATAGTCAATGAAACACAGATAGACATTCATCTGATATTCCCCGCTTTCAGCTACATCCATCTAACATCAGCTACAATATCCCTAGTACCATGACCCTTTCTAAACCCAGCCTGGACCTCTTTCAGTTCTCTGCTGATGTGCTGTTCCAGTCGTTTTTGGATAGTCTTCAGCAGAATCTTGCTTGCATGTGAAATCAATGAGATTGCTCTATAGTTTCCACACTCTGTTGGGTCACCGTTCTTTGGGATGGGAACAAATATAGATCTCTTACAGTTGGCCAAGTGGTTGTTCTCCCTAATTGCTAATTCCTATGAAGTTAACAATATTATGGGTAAACTGGCTTCTGTGACTTAAATTGAAGTTCAGAAAGTAAGATGATGTTTACTTAGCATTTTTTGTGCATATTCAAGTATGGTAGTCTGATCTGTATTAGATTGTCAATCTGATATTGTTTTAAAAGAAATGTTGTAGAAAGGAAAACAGATTCAGAATTGATTATCCTTTGATTTGACACCTCAGAAGCCATAATTGATTTATAATAGCCATTATTGGAAAGCAGCTGCTTTTGGTTTTGTTATATCCTTTTCTTTTTCTACCATCATTATTCTTTCTGGTGGCTGATGTCTAATCTTTCATGCTGACTCCCTTTAATTATTCCTTTGAAGGTTTGTATTCTATCTTCTTTCTCTCTCATTGTATTTTCTATAGTTAATTTTGCTTATGCTCATGATGTGACATATTCTAATTAGTTCTATTTGTATCTAGGCCTAACTGAGCTTCAGGTGCTTGAGTGGGGCATGTAAAGCTTCCAACTGAAAAATGGGAGGTTTGAGTACACCTAAAGCGCAGCCAGTGAAAAAGATCGAAATTTGTTCCCATTCCAAAGAAAGGTGACTCAACAGAGTGTGGAAATTGTCAAACAATCTCATTAATATCACATGTAAGCAAGATTCTGCTGAAAATTATACAAAATTGATTGGAGCACTATGTCAACAGAGAACTGCCAGATGTGCAGTCGTAGTACTAGGGATATTATACCTAATCTTAGATTGATCTTGGCAGAAAGCAGAGAATACCAGAAGAATGTCTATCTGTGCTTCATTGACTATGCAAAGGCTTTTGACTGTGTGGATCACAACAAGCTATGGCTGACTCTGAGAAGAATGGGAATCCCAGAACATTTGATCGTGCTAATGCGAAACCTATACTTGGACCAAGAGGCAGTCGTCAGAGCAGAGCAAGGAGACACTACATGGTTCAAAATCAAGAAAGGGGTCCGTCAGGGATGTATTTTGTCTCCATACCTTTTCAATTGTATGCAGAACAGATCATCTGAGACACTGGGCTGTACGAGGAGGAATGTGGCATCAGGATTGGTGGAAGAGTCATCAACAACTTGAGTTACGTGGATGACACAATCCTGCTTGCTGAAACTGAGGAGGACCTGAAGCGTTTACTGCAGAAGGTTAAGGACTGCAGTCTTCAATATGGATTGAAGCTCAACATCAAGAAAACAAAGATTCTCACCCCTGGGCCAATTGGCAGCATCATTATGGATGGTGAAGAGATTGAGATAATTAAGTTTTAGTTTACTTGGTTCCACAGTCAACACTCTTGGTAGCAGCAGCCAGGAAATCAGGAGACTAATTACCTTGGGAAAGTCAGCTGTCAGGGACCTCTCAAGAGTCCTGAAGAGCAACAACGTCAAGCTGGAGACTAAGGTGCACCTGATCCAGGCTATAGTCTTTGCAGTCACATGCTATGCATCAGAGAGTTGGACAGTGAATAGGGATGATAGAAAGAGAATTGATGCCTTTGAGCTTTGGTGCTGGAGAAGAGTATTGAATCTACCCATGGACTGCTAGGAGAACAAATAGGCATGTTCTGGAGAGGGTGAAGCCGGAATGCTCCTTGGAGTCAAGGATTCTGAAGCTTCCTGTCATACTTTGGGCGTGTTGCAAGGAGGGACTGGTCCTTGGAGAGGGACATCATGTTAGGGAGAGTGGAGGGACAGACAGGAGAGGAAGATCCTCGATGAGATGGATTGATTTTGTGAGTGGAGTGGTGGGAATGAGTGCGTTTGAGACAGCGAGGTTGGCACAGAATAGAACAGCATTTAGGGCTCTTAACACATAGGATCACTTTGAGTCGCAAGCGACTTGATGGCACATAACAACAACAACAACAAAGCACAACAGATGCTGCACAAGACACATTCACCATGTTGTGCCAGGAAATCTGAAGGAAAACTACCTGGACAATTGACTGGTAGAAATATATCTATATTTATTTCCATTGTAAAAAACCCCAAACAAACGATGACCCAACAGTGTGGAAATTATCTAA